ATGTCTTCAACAGGCATCCATATCCTTGCCATAATGTTGCCTTCTGGGTCCTATGCTTCTAGTCTATCAGGCTCTGAGATGCTACATTGTGCGAGCAATGTATGTGATGGAAAAAATACTTGGGGGAATTTAATTTATAAAGCACTTTGTGTTTTCTCTTGGTTGGCAACAAAAATGTAGCCACCCAATGTTCCCTATCATAGATGAGGCCCTTTCAACTTTTGGTTTTCAATAGGAACATGCCACTGGGTATTGGAGTAATAAGATATTAAGGGCTGGATTCAAACCCTGTCATGGAGGTATCGCAGAAGATCCGACTTATAGCTATTGAAATTTAAAGGCAATGTTCCCATGTTCGCAGAGACTGCATTCATGGAAAAAGCTGCATATGTCAGCTCAATCAGAAACTACCTTTAAATGTTTATCTTCCGCGATACTTCCGCCCTACCGATTGAATCCAGTCTTAAGGCCCAATAGAACTGATGACAGACGACTTAGAGCTTGAGGTCAATAGGTCAAGGCTCAAGAAGAAACAAGCATTTGATAGTGACCTTTATGATTAACTTTACAAGGAGCAGCATGCTACAATCACAATGACAACATAATTTGACTAGAAAACTTGTTCAAAAAGAACAAAGTGAGAATGGGAACAGTCTGCCCATGGAAATCATAACAAAAGCTCAGGCCAGTGTTAACTTTCTTAATGTTTCTATTCGACTGTGACACACTTTCAACAATAATGTTGACATTTCCTTCTGAAACATAATTAAATTAGGTATGCCTCACATGCAAGCTGGCTGAAACAAGAGAAGCCAATGGACATGCAAGTCATTTACAAAGTAAGCAAATACAGAGAGAGACATGTAACCCAGACATATTTAGAGCTTTGAAAACTGGTCATTGAAACCAAATCAGTAGTGAGCAGTCAGTTGGGTAAGAGGAGTCAACTTTATTGTTGTTTTTTGCTCTGTGCTATTGAGCATTCCCATAAGGGCAGACAGGCACTTAAGATATTCAGACAGACTGTCTTTGTTAAATAATTAACTTAGCATAACTATTGTGAATGGTCAATTTCTCCAAACAACTACATTTTGTACTTCATTTAATGGCCTCATAATCCGCTAATGCCAGCCAAATCAGTATAATATTCATTTGTATTGTGCTTCTATTATGGCAACTAAGCTATTAGACTTTATCCCTGAGCTTAACACTTATCTCTCCATGTGGGCTGCAGACATCCATATTGGGATTGGCTAACAATATTTTGGGAATATACAGCCAGTTCAAGTAAGAAATTCAATACCTTCATTGCCTCCATTTGAATTAGCGTTTATCACCTCAATTGTTCTATTGGCCAAACATTACATTTACAAGTCCTGTAGTTCAAGTTTCCCACTATAAAACCGCTATATAGCAGCACCTGGGGAACTGTTACTGTGGAATGCTGGTAACCTGGTCCCACATCTGTTTGTCATGTCAACTCCTTGCTCCATGATTTGGGACCAGGCTAGAACGCTGGGGCCAGTGGGTTCTTCACTCTGGTCCTGTGCAGAAATGTACATGTGCAGCTAACTGTGGTTATGTCACAGTGATGATGAGGCAGCTAAGCCTCTCTCATTGAGGCCTTGGACGTGCCTGGTTACAGGCCTCTATGGGCTGACTGACTGACTGACTGGAGCAGTGGTTGCGGTGTCTGGATTAGCCTGTGAGAGGAAACAGCTGAGGCCTGCGTAGCGTCAGCACTAGCTAATCAGCGCGCTGCTCCCCCCAATAATCCCACCCTCCTTTATCCCTGCCCCAGGGGTCAGCCAGGCACAAAGGGCCAGACCCACAAGTGTGAAAGAGACCAGGCCAGGGAGAGCGGGGCCCGGGGGGGGGGACAAAGGGACACAAAAGTGCTAGGTCAAAGCAGAGCAGGCCGCTGACTCATCATGGAAAAGAAATGTGCGCGGAACGATTACCTGGCACTTCTTTGACAGTCATGCGTCAAATATGGTTAGCGTCCATACTTCGGAGAGCAGAAAATCATGTTAAATGTTCTACTCATGGCCAGATTTATGTGCAGCTGGGTGTAATAAAAAATACTGCCATGATCAGTTAACTTGACACAGGCTCGAGTAGAGCCAATAGCCTTGCTTGAGCATAGTGCATTTTTCATTACTCAGAATGATCCCATCATTGTGCGTGAGATTCTACACTCCTCTTCTTCCTTTGTAATCAATTATTACATAACATAGCTGACGTAATGCAATGGGTTGACTACGTATTACATTGATCGGTTTGTTACCTCACAGTATAAATAGGTCATGTATCTCTTACCCATGCCAACCATGTAAGGCATTTCAAACACAACTTCAAAGTGAAAATACTAATGAAATCATGCAAACTTGCTTTGTTTCTTCTGAACTATTACGAAATAAATGTATCGATTTGTCTTTCTTCATTTTGCTCAGTACAAGACAGTTTGAATAAAATGAACAATGTGTACAGTTAGTACAATGGCTATTGGAATAGAAACACCCATACATTGTATTTAATCTGATGGCCATCCTTTGATATCAATGCCTGATTGGAAGAAATCATGTTCAAAGCACAATAAAACCGAGTTTGTTCTGATCAAACATGGTGTGAGACAACCAGGTGAATTTCGACAAAACGTCCTATCCCCTTGATGAGAAAAGTTAGCATTCAGTGTGAATCAATATACTGTATCATGCGTGACATTGTACAGTGCCTTCAGAAAGTATTCACACCCCTTGACTTTTTCCACATTTTGTTGTGTTACAGCCTGAATTTAAAATTGATTAAATTACATGTTTTGTCACTGGCCTACACACAATACCCCATAATGTCAAAGTAGAAATATGTTTTTTGACATTTCTACAAATTAATTACAAATGAAAATCTGAAACGTCTTGAGTCAATAAATATTTAACCCTTTTGTTATGGCAAACCTAAATAAGTTCATGAGTAAAAATGTGCTTAACAAATCACATAATAAGTTGCATGGACTCACTCTGTGTGCAATAATAGGGGTTTAACATGATTTTTGAATGACTACCTCATCTCTGTACCCAGACATACAATTATCTTTAAGGTCCCTCAGTCGAGCAGTGAATTTTAAACACAGATTCAACCACAAAGACCAGGGAGGTTTTCCAATGCCTCGCAAAGAAGGGCACCTATTGGTAGATGGGTAAAAATTAAATAAAAAGCAGACATTGAATATATCCCTTTGAGCATGTTGAAGTTATTTATTACACTTTGAACAGTGTATCAATACATACAGTCACTACAAAGATACAGGCGTCCTTCCTAACTCAATTGCCGGAGAGGAAGGAAACCGCTCAGGGATTTCACCATGAGGCCAATGGTGACTTTAAAATATTTTATTTACAGTTTATTTACAGAGTTTAATACTAACCTAAATGACAGAGTGAAAAGAAGGAAGCATGTACAGAATACAAATATTCCAAAACATTCATCTTGTTTGCAATAAGGCACTAAAGTAAAACTGCAAAAAATGTAGCAAAGAAATTAACTTTATGTCCTGAATAAGTGAATACAAATCATTATGTTTGGGGCAAATCCAACACAGCACATCACTGAGTACCACTCTTCATATTTTCAATCATGGTGGTGACTGCATCATGTTATGGGTATGACTAGGCAGTTTTTTTTAGAATAGAGCTAAGCACAGGCAAAATCCTAGAGGAAAACCTGGTTCAGTCTGCTTTCACTGGGAGACAAATTCACCTTTCAGCAGGACAATAACCTAAAACACAAGGCCAAATATACACTGGAGTAGCTTACCGATACAACATTGAATGTTCCTGAGTGGCCAAGTTACAGTTTTGACTTAAATCGGCTTGAAAATGTAAGAAAATACTTGAAAATGGCTGTCTAGCAATGATCAAGAACCAACTTGACAGAGCTTTAAGAAGTTTAAAAAGAATAATGTGCAAATATTGTACAATCCAGGTGTGCAAAGCTCTAAGAGACTTACCCAGAAAGACTCACAGCTGTAATCGATGCCAAAGGTGATTCTCTGTATACTTATGTAACTTAGATATTTCTGTATTTCCTTTTCAATAAATGTGCAAACATTCTGAAAACATGTTTTCAATTTGTCATTATGGGATATTGTGTGTAGATGGGTGATCATTTTGGGGGGATTTAATCCATTTTGAATTCAGGCTCAAACACAACAAAACGTCGAACAAGTTAAGGGGTGTGAATACTTTCTGAAGGCACTGTATGTTCTTCTGTGTTTCCATACTGCTGTAACCGTGTTGGGTGGAGAGGGGGGTCACCGTGACTTCTCAGTCATATTGTACCTGTTCAATCTCTGTACTCAACCCACTGTGAGTGACCTATGACCTTCACATGGGTCATGACCTGACGAGGAAAGGTCATTGAAGAACTGGAGTCAGTGTCCTTGGTGTCTGCGTGTCCAGCACCTCAGATATCAGCTTGGGCCTGACCCCTGAACCCTCACACCCTGCCAGAGGAACACATCCATGGTCTCTCTAGAAGATATAGCCCACCTCAGCATTTCACATCCCTATAAGTAAACACATTGTATTAGGCTAGAGTAAGGCCGGGATTCAATCCAAGGCACATTACAGAGCCGCACTTCGAATTGGACTTTTAAAGGTAATTTACACTTGAGCCGACAAGTGCAGCGTTTACAGTGAATACGAACATCAAGAAAAATGCCTTTAAAAGGCACCTTGTCAGCTGTTGAGCTCTATAACATGGAGATAAGCTGGGAGGAGATAAACGTGTGGTTTGGGTTGGGAGGCCTTACAGCAAGATCACTTTACAGTACCATACACAACTTTTACCAAGACAAGTAAAACCATGTACATTTGGATATAACTGTCATGCAAGTATTGCTATTCCTTATTTATTTTTGATTGTTTATAGCTACTTGCTTGACATTTCTTTCTAGAAAACCACGACCAAGGGCTCTATTCAATCCGTAGCGCTGAAGAGCAATAGAAATTTAAAGGCAACGTTCCCGCATTAGCAGAGACCGCATTCGCGGTAAACGTTGCATATGTCAGCTCAATTCGGAAATTACCTTTAATTTCAATTGCGCTATAGCGCTGAACTTCAACAAAACGGATTGAATCGAGCCCCACGTCTTGTGTCAGGCTCATAAAATTGGAATAGTGGATGCAGTGGAGTGAAGTGTATGTTTTAGGAACAACAAGCAGGGGCGCTGTTGCACTAGTTATGGAAGCTTGGGCTGTGTGTGTAGTGACGCCTTGCTTTCTTTCTAAATGTGGGACTGCTGTACTGATGTTGAGCCCTTGATCTTTATATCCTCTATGGTTGGTTGAGCCTAACTACATAGATTTCAGACAACCTACCTGATTTAAGTTATCAGATTTTTTTTAATCCATATGCTGAAGTTTAATTAGGTCTCATCAAGAAGAAAGAAATGACTGATTCCCACGACAATGTACAATTTTGAACAAAAGTTTATTAAACTCAAAAGAAATACTAGACAAAAGGTTACAATCATTCAGGACATTCATACAATATCTATATATGATCGTGATTAAGAAACTATAAAAGACAAAGGAGAAACTAGACATACAAATAGTGAAGAAAACTAATTCAAATGAGTAATATTGCACTTTGTTTCTAAAACATTTCAGATCCATTCTCCCATTTCTAACGGCTTGATTCCTCACTTCAGTAAGTCAGGAATTTAGCTTTTAACACTGGACTACACTGAGGCCCGAACAATGGACTATAGAATTGACCAACCTGAAACAGATTTAAGCTTATTCATTTTCCTTCTTTTAGCTTGATACATATTCCCCACATAAAATCGAAACAAAACAAAAGTGATTTTATCTTAGAATAGCGGTCTATTCCATTTGTAAGCTAATTCGTTCTCAGTGGGAAGGGAGGGTTGCTGATCCACAGCTGTTCCCTGAAGCTGAAAGGTGAGTAGAAGTTAACTAAACGGGGTTGTCTGACTGGATAACAAACCATCAATGCCCAAGTACATAATCTAGCCCAGTCATCACTAAAACGCATTCAGAAAAACACACAAAGAGGCTTGTCCGGGGGATCGTCATTTTTTAAAACACTTTCTTCCCTTTTTGTCCCTTTGAAAAGCATGAAAGGACTAAATCACACATACAGACAGACAAAGAAAAGAAAATAGCAAAAAGTGTAAGGTTGTAAATTATATCGACACTCGATAATGAAGCATCATAATTAGGTCAGTTCTGTGTCAAGGCCACTTAGAGAAGATCACTTTAATTCGTAGTTTGTCTGTCACTGTAAGCAGTATTATTATAGTTGCTAGCTAGATCTAAACAGAGCACACACACACATACAAACTTGTCGACTAATTATAACTGTAAACTTTCAAAAAACGTCTTAGATGAAATAATGCATTTATGTCCAACTCAACACTGCTTGACTAAATGTCTCATCAGGAAATGATGTGGTTACCCAACTTTTTCCAGACCTTCACCGTCAATGCAATTTTAAAATGTTTTCCTTATCAAAAAAAGTGCCTCATGTTTAAGACGATGCCAAATCTCCACTCTTACTGGTCTAGGTGTTGAATGAGTTTGAAAACCAATGTATTACTCATTTCAACCTACCACTACTTGTTCTGGCCAGTTCGAGCAGAGCTTTAGCAATGTCCAATTCTTTCCCAGCATTTAGCCAGGCTGGGTTTGAGTCTGCGTTATTTGAAGCAGATCATACCATGTACTCTTACTTCTTTATATATATATATATAATTCTAGCATTTCAGGCTTCACTGGTCTGGAAAATAAAACAGTTGGTGAATGAAGTCAGCAAGTGCAGCGATGGCAAAAAGGGAATGTCGTTCATCTTGGAAAACTACCTTGCTGCTCTGTGTATGCCTCATCTCTCTTGTTTTGGTAATATACCTTTTTTTTTGTACTATTTGAAACAGTGCAATTTAAACAAAACATAACATTTTCAACCATTTGGCAAGTGAGAAGTTCAACCGGAGACAGTGCTTCTTTTTTAGGCAGTATGTAAGCCTCTGTGCTGTGAGTAGAGGGGCTGTAGACACAGAGTGTGGGAATTCTGATATGTCCCACTCTTTCCGTCTCACACACACACACAATTATCTGTGTTTCATGCTCTACTTGAGTGGCAAGCACTAGCCTGCGGCTCCTCCACTCCAGAACAAGCACAATATAAAACACGAAGCAAACAATGCTCGGCTTAAAAGGCATTCTAAGTTTGAAACTAAATCAAAGGACAGAACATAGTACAGAACCAGAAAAAAAGGATGCCACACTTGGATCCAAACGGAGGAGGCAATATCGAAAAAGAGCTTTCGGATGGAGAGTGTGCTGCTGCATTCAAGTCCAGTCTGCAAATCATTAAGGAAATGTAATTAGGAAAAATAACATTTTAAAACAGCTTAAACAAGGTCAGTGCATTGTTTTTGTCCAAATATGTTCTCTGCGTTGTTCGAAGTTGTGCGGCGAAGGAGTCTAGGAGTTAAGCCTGCAGTCTCTTTAGTTCAGCATGCTACTATGCTGAAAAAAAAAAAAACTAGTGATAACTGCTTTCTTCTTAAAATGAAGCCACACAACTCAAGCAAAAAATAACATGTGCAAAAATCACAAATGAGGCAGGAGGAGGCTAGTCTTTGCTCCGTTGAATGCTGCTGAGCGCTTCAGACAGTGGTGGTTATATTGTAATCTCTTCTTCCTGTTTTTTTCTGCTCAGGTCTCGACATGATAGTTCTGCTCTGTGTGAAAGCCATGTCCGCGTGTGCCGTGGTTACAGAAAAAAAGCAGGCGATTAAGAGCCATAGGCAGACATGGCCCTGGTGTGTCATCACTCACTCCACCAAGGCTGTCTCCACTACAGGTTAGGTGGATGTTCGACTGGCCTTTCCCCCCGGCCAGGCTGACAGGAAGGCAGACTTCCTGTGCCTTTCTCTGTGGGAGGGGGCAGGACTTTGTTCACCTGTGGTATTTGTTTGCTTTGTTTTTTTTCTCTCGGCGTTGACGGTGGAGTGCGAACGCTGTCGCCGGGGAAAAATACAAAAACAGAGTTGACTAGAAATGCCCAAAACGTATCCGGGCAGGGCTCTGTGTTTCCTTCAGCGTGATGGACAAGTGTCAGGCCTCCGCTCCTCCGTCCGGCTGGCTTGATCAGGATTGGGATCAATCTGGCGGAAGAGGAGGAAACACTGCTTTAATGAAAGGACCAAGACCTCTTGGCTACCAGACTTTATTATGATCACTAACCGCAGTGTGTAAAAGCATTAGTCTTAGTCGAGGGTGTACGCTGTGCTGATGCATACCTCAGAGTAGAGTGGAGGGGGCTGGAAGCGGAACTCCTGGATATAGGCAAAGAGTGGTCCCTCAAACTCATCCCTGGCTGAGGTCACCTCCAGGCTCTGGCTCTGTCTCTGCTCCTCTGTCACGATCTCTGAATAGCTTGGTGGGGCTTCAGGGCGCTCTGGCAGGGCCATGCCTAGCCAGCTCATGGTCATGCTGCACTGGCTGCTGACACTGGAGGTGCGGCTGCCGAAGGGGTGCAGCGGGATGGTGCCGATGACCAGTGGCAGGTTCAGAGACAGGTTCATGGCTCCGGGGATGTCTACGTACACCTGGAGAGGGTAAGCAGCACACAACTGAGGGTTAGAACTGTAGGCCCACCTTCATTGAACAACAAACCTGTGTGTTCTACAGTGTTAGACTTAGGCAAGGGGCCGTCCGATGACAGGGTAAAAAGAGGTCATTAGCACCTATAAGACAGGTGTTGCCTCTGATATTCTAGACTGATCCTCTTAACTGCGTATGGAGAGAACACCAGCTAATAATGGGAGAGTCTTTGCTATGACTGCCTAGGTGACAGGCCTCGATGGGAAACGTAGAGAGCTTTCTAGAAACCTATTCAAATGTGCCTAGTATCAATGTGGATCATAATGACGCATATTCTCATTTTACAGCACACTATACTCCATATTTATATGGATGATAGCTACAGATCTCTCTCAACCGGTTTGAATTGGTTTACAAATGTCAGAGCGAGAAAGAGGAAGAGGTGGTCTCTCCAGGGCAGTAGCTGTACTAACCATGAGAGAATACTCCACTCGGATGATGCTGCAGTCCAAGATGGAGGGAGAGATGGGGGGGATCTTCAGCATTTTGCCACTCCACGTCTCCGTCTTGCCCGAGGACAGCGACTCTCCTCGGAGGTTGGCCACCAGCTGTTTGACCTCCTTCATTTTCCCTTTGGCGTAGAAGGTCTGTGTTTGGTAAATGGCTGCCTTTGGCACCACCATGCGAGACGAGCAGTTCTCGATCTCGGCGAAGATCTGAATAGACTCTCCTGCAAAGACAAGAAAGAAGGGGTTTAGTTAAATCAGTCAAAGGATAATTTGATTGAGATGGCATCATCAAACATAATACGGCAGTCATCTATAGTCATTAATCTACAAGAGTGCCAAATTACTAATCAATAAGAGTGACAGAGTCGGGGTGTTCTTCTTACCTGGGGTATAACCCTTCCTTTCGATTTTGGCACTTAAGGAGATTGGACCTGAGGTGCAGAACCAGCAGCATAAAGTCTTGTCTTTCGTGCCTGCCTGGGGCGACTGTGAAACAGAGAGCGAAAACAAGAAAATGTAAGTGTTTGGAAAATTCCTTATTCCTCTACCCAATCATCCCTAGGGGGGGGGGGGGAATACCTGTTCTTGGCCCCCTGACAGAAACTGCACCTTGTGCAGCTAACATGATGACATACAGCGCCTAAGGCCCGTCATTCAAATACAGGGAAATACCGGTATCTCTTTCCATATACCCGGAAGACATGTTTAGACAGCAGAGCACATCACTATACAAAGTGGCTGTCACAGACTATCAAACAATATTTAAAATACTTTCCCCCTCAACAGTCATTTCACACACACACAAATCAACACTTCATTTTAACCATGTGCTGTGTGTATTAATTTCTCTACTATACCAACCGATCAGGAAATAATCTCTGTTAGGTATGGGGAAACCGTGTTTTCCACAACTAATGTCCACGGGTGTCCTCTGTGCTTTGGGTATGGGGTCAGCTGGTACAACACATTCTGCGACCACAATAACATAGGCACTGGCAGCCCACTACACCAAATCAAATTACAACGAATGAAAAGCAAGGGGCCTGAGTGCTGGCACTGGCTAATTCTTTCTATATTTGGACAACAATTGTGGCTAGAAATGAGTCACACTTCTGCCTTTTAAGTCACTCTCTTGGCTGCCAATGTAACTCGATCGCCGCTGCCAACTGAACCATTGAACAATTCAAAGACCCTGAAGAGATTAGGGGTAACCAAGGAAGTGCCTATGGTCCTACTACACATACACAACGCACAAACATACAGAAAACTGGACAAGAGAAAGATCCTTAAGCTCACCAGCAGTAAGGGAGTGTTGATGTCGATGTGTTCGAAGACGGTGAATTCTTTCTTGGTCTTCATGGGCAGAAGCCATGGCCTGTGTAGCTCCGCCTTCACCCAGTAGCGCACACTGCCATGTTTCCCTTCGAACGAGGTAGCCAGAGGTCTGAGAGGGATAAGAGAGGGGACAGAGAGAGACAAGGGGGGAAAAAACAGGTCATTTCAGGAGAACATAAAGCCAGCAGCTATTTCAATCTTCAACTAAGGACAGACACACACATATATATATATATACACATACACATACACATACACATACACATACACATACACACATACACACATACATACATACATACATACATACATACATACATACATACATACATACATACATACATACATACATATATATATATATATATATATATTTGTCCTTAATCTGTCTTTTGATAGGTAAAGAGGAGATACTCACGTCTGTGGAAGCTCAAGGCTGAATGCATACTCGTGTCTTCCTGAATGGATAGTGGTGAGTCCTTCTTCTGAGTTGTCATCATCTGAAACAAGAGAGGGACAATATTCCAACACGTATACCATACCTGGAAAATATGTAGTACGATGTCACCTAAGTATAAGAACACAGATATAAAACAATACCACCACAACAGAGAGGAACAGCACAATATAACTTAATTTCATAATTATTATAATTTTCATTTTTGGACACCAGGAAGGCACAGGCTGTAATGACAATGATGAGGAAAAAACTATGAAAATGTGAAATTATGATCTCTGTGATGAAAATTTTGACCCTTCTGGAAACAACACATATTTACCCATCTATCAAAAACCTTCAAGTCTTGAACAAGAACCTTTTGACACATTGTTTAAATCAGTATTGAAATTAAAATATTGTTTTTATAAAAGCACATAATGTGATATAATCTGTCTGGGAACTGCACAATTGAGAATCTAATAATTATTTATCTCACATTATGTATTCTTCTTGTGTAACGGGGGGGTTGCGTTATTAAGCATTATATGATTTGTAAGAAAATATGTTGATATTTTTTCCTTTACATAAAGGCTACCCTGCTGTGTAATATTTGAAAATCACGCGTTATGGAGCGGGAGCTCCGTTTCTGCCAGGTCAGCGCTCCCTCCCAGCCTTAAGCAGCGGCAGAGTCGTGGTAAACAACTGCCGAACTGTCACTCAAAAGCAGACTGGAGCAGGAGAAGACCAGCCTAAACCGGAGCGAGCAGCTTCCCCAAGCCAGCTCTCTCATAACGCATTCACTGTGTGCGGCATTCAATCAGTGGCTCAACCGAACTTGCTCACTATCAGGCACAGCCCTCTCAAGACCTGACGCGTGTACTGCAGCATGTACCAGAGAGATTTCACCCACTCAATATTACACGTCAGAAATATTGTAACAGACAGAAAAGAGAAACAAACACCGTTATTGAAAAAGAGGACAGACAAAGAAGCAATTATATTACTTAAACCTTTATTAAGCGCCACTGATACCCTTAACTGCATACATGATTGCAATAGAGACACATAGGAAGGCTTTTACCATTTCAAGAAACTTAAACTATTCAACAATTGATATGAAAACATTAGCAACATGCATATGTTATTCCCCATTCATAGACAGATCAAATACATTATTTTCACCATCAAGAAACGTTCACTCACAGCAAGAAACAAGGAACAGGTAACTAAGTTATAACTTGGGCAACACTGTACAAAATACTTGATGGCATAAATTCCCACCCCACATTAAATTAAACTACTTCAATTATCGGACTGACCTTTCTATCTAATCAGCTGAAAGATCTACTACCCTAGGCAAAGGCTAACAACCCTGTTCTAGTAACTAGGACTACCAAGTTTCAGTGAACAAAAAGTAGTAGCCTACATTCATTATCCGCAAATAGGCTAAATTGTTATGGCTTCAGATTATTATATTCCAACTTCTAGTTCATAGTCAATTGCAGGACTTGTTATGCATCATTCATTCGGATACACAGTAGGCTATCACTAATCACTAGATAAATGCAGAATAGAATAGGCTAAATGGAACGAATGCAATTTTTCTTTTCATGCGACTTTGTAACATTGTGCTGACAGGTCAGATACAAAGTTGCAGACTTTTTTCTGTCATTTTCTGCAAAAGCATGAGGTAATTGGAAGACACATGAGCACTTCAGCCAATCAACGGAGAGGAACCCAAGTCCCTTCACCCCACACAACCAGTTTCTGAACAGGATTGAACCGCTTTGAACAATGGTGGAAACTTAAGAAAAACTACAACGTTAAACTTTACATGATTGCTCGATAACTATTTTTTATGAAACTGCACATATGTAAACGGAGACTGCTATGCACCTTCATGTACTGTGTTTTAGAAAATATTGTAATTCATATAATTGTTATATAGGCTGCAATGAAGGATAGAGAATACTGTCATTCAGTCTGCAGCCCAGACAGCCAACTTGATAGACTTTAGAATTTTGTAGGCTCTCTTTAGCCTATATGCTCGAATATGCCTACATGATTATGAAGTATCATGCTTAAATAAATTCCCATATCTTAAATCTTAAAATTCATTGAATACTGTAGTTGACATGTCTCAAGACATAGCCTACATAATGTGTTATAGACGGCTGTATGGCCAGTATTAAACAAAATAAAAAAGGTATTGTTGTGAGCTAGATAAATCGTCCCCAAATCTTTCTCTGTTATACATTCAACTGTGTTCATTGTGAGCCTGTAGTATAGGTTAACAGCATTCTCTGTATGAAACCTCAAGAGCCACCATGACTAGCCTACACAGAGCATCTCAGGAACAAAGTGATTTCTTTAGCTACAAAGAAGGTTGTATATTCTTACCTCTTTCATGTCCAATTAGGATGTCTCTATGGTTTAGATATTCCACTTCTTCAGTGTAATTTTGCGTATAGGCAGTGTTGGATCCAGCATTTCGCGATTCAGTCCAACGAACTTTTGCAAATCCTTTTGCGTGAATTTTAAGAGATTTCACACGGATTTCTCCGGTGACTTCGATGATCACCCTCCCTGAGACGGAGTCCCCGCTTGCGAAAACGGGGACATTGCTGTCATTGAGACAGTCGTAGCTTACGGTGAAGCTCTTCACCTTTCCTAGCACCATGGTGAAAAAAATACAGGTAGCCTACCGACAAATAAAAGTATATGAAAAATAATCTCATAAGAAAAAAAATCTGTATTTTTACGCCGATCAATATCTTTGCCCTGCAAAAGCAGTGGGCATGATCAGGGCTTTCTCTGACAAAAGTTCATTTAGATGTAAAGGCTTAATAACAGCAGTGGATGCTGTTATCGTCAGCCCGTCTGCGCGTTGGTCTCTGGTCAAAGACAAGGAACTTTCGTCGCTCAGCTCACTTTAAGCGAGGATTTTGTGAAAAACAACCTATAGAGCATGCGCAGAACTTTATCTGCCCCCTCCTTCCGCCTTATGGAACAAGGGAGAGAGCAGTGGCATTCAGTCAAATGACAAGTTTGGTTAAACAGCTGATTGTATTGCAAAAGCATCCCCTGTAAATAATTCAAGTTTAATGTTAACCCTACAGAGCAATATTCAAAGTGAAATAAATAACATAAACCTGTCACTACAGGCCTATGTTATGTTGGTAGGCCTATAGCCTAAATCTTACAGTGGATTTCCACAAGGATTGATGCATCACACAGCCACACTGACTTCCCCCAGAATGGTTCACCATGTGGTTGCTAGCAAGTCGACAGCATGCTAGGTAGTGTTAGGTATCAACAGCCAATCCAATAGCGTCTGGAAGCTATCAGTGGTGTAAAGTACTTAAGTTCAATTTTTAAAGTACTACTTAAGTAGTTTTTTGGGGTATCTGTACTTTACTATTTATATTTTTTACAACTTTTACTCCACTACATTCCTAAAGAAAATAATGTACTTTTTACTCCATACATTTTCTCTGACACTCAAAAGTAGTCGTTAAATTTTGACAGTAAAACATTTTTGACAGTAAAATGGTCCAATTCACGCACTCATCAAGAGATTATCCTTGGTCATACCTTCTGCGTCTGATCTGGCGGACTCACTAAACACAAATGCTTCGTTTGTAAATTATGTCTGAGTGTTGGAGCATGCCCCTGGCTATCCCTAAAGAAAAAAATCAAAAAAAAGTGCCGTCTGGTTTGCTTAATATAAGGAATTTGAAATGATTTATACTTTTAATTTTGATACTTAAGTTTAAAAAAAATAGTAATTAACTTACTTTTGATACTGAAGCATATTTAAAACTAAATTGTTTTAGACTTACTCAATTAGTATTTTACTGGATGACTTTCACTTTTATTTGAATCATTTTCTATTAAGGTATCTTACTCAAGTATGACAATTGGGTACTTTTTCCACCACGGGAAGCTATAGTGGGCTTCGATTGGTCAATAGCGCCGCGATATCGCAGAGTTTTTGCATAGATTCGGCTTTCCCCAACTTTGGTCCCGCCCTGTTCACGCTCCCTCGCCCATGCTAGCATCGCCCAATGATCCCTGCCCACCTCGCTTCCCTCTTTTGTAAATTAATGGCTTCCGAAGTTTAATCGCCCCCTGTCGTCTCCTGTGGAAATCCACTGTTAAATGTACGCTATTATGTATTTATGGCTATAGTAGGGACTAGGGCCTACACACCTGTCCACAACTATGAATAGGCCTAATCCCATTGCTGGTGGACATGACAGCGTTCAAAATAGCCTATAATACCCTCATATTCATAACCATTAATCCTGATTAAAATCTAAATAATACACAAAGGCTGCGTTTACACAGGTTTCCCAATTCTGATCTTTTTTCCACTAATTGGTCTTTTCACCAATCACATCAGATCTTTACACATCAGATCTTGTTCAGAGCCGATCTTATTGGTCAAAAGACCAATTAGTGAAAAGAATATCAGAACTGGGCTGCCTGTGTAAATGCAGCCATAGATCCTTGGTTCCAGTCAAACAATTATGATCTGGCATTGCAGACTTTGAGACACGGGACGCCATCTCGTGGCTATCTTAGATATTGTTGTCAATTGGTGCAAGTGAGCATGACAACTGTTGCATGTTTACTTCACACCAATTTCAAGGAGAGATCGTAGTGGCACAATGCATATTTTGAAAATCCCTAGTTGATAAATAAGATAAGAACCGATAATTTAAGTAAAATGCCAACTGATGGAGGCTCCAAACATTATACTTCCACAAAGCAATGTATGATTAAACTTCTTGTAAATACTGAAATCGAGAGGTCCTGACCTGAACCGAGGATCTTCAATCACGATACAATGTCTGATCAGTGGTGTAGTGGGAGCTATACGCTGGTATACGCCATAAACCAACCTTTTCTTTAGTGGGCATTGCGTAGGCTATACTCACTTCTTAATCCTCACTGATGCGTATCAAAGTAGTATAGTGGAGGTATACGCCGTATCATTTTACTATCTGTGATGTGCTAGATGCCTTGCTTAAAATGTATGTAAAAAAAAAATCCACTAGAGCTTATATGCTTGATCCATTTTTGCTGCAGCTCTCTGCCCCCCTGACTGCTGAATCATTAACCCATATTTTTTACCTTATTATAGCTTGTACTATCCCCGAAGTTTGGAAGGCAGGCCCATGTACCCCCCCCTTCACAGAGGTGGTGACCCTCTTTCTTGCCTAGCTAAAATATTAGAATCCTTGATTAATTCTCAGCTAAAATCTTTCTTATCTTTGTAATGCATTCTAAATGTACATCAGTCAAGTTTTAGACCAGGTTATAGCACTATCTCTGCTGCATCCCTAGTTATAAATTACGTGGTTAACTGTATGGATAAAAGGCAACATTGTGCTGCCCTCTTCATTGACCTGTCAAAGGCTTTCAGTACTGTTGATCACTCAAATCAAATCAAATCAAATCAAATTTTATTGGTCACATGCGCCGAATACAACAGGTGCAGACATTACAGTGGAATGCTTACTTACAGCCCTTAACCAACAGTGCATTTATTTTAAACAAAAAAAGTAAAAATAAAACAACAACAACAAAAAAAAAGTTGAGAAAAAAAAGAGCAGAAGTAAAATAAAGTGACAGTAGGGAGGCTATATATACCGTTGCAGAGTCAATGTGCGGGGGCACCGGCTAGTTGAGGTAGTTGAGGTAATATGTACATGTGGGTAGAGTTAAAGTGACTATGCATAAATACTTAACAGAGTAGCAGCAGCGTAAAAAGGATGGGGTGGGGGGGCAGTGCAAATAGTCCGGGTAGCCATGATTAGCTGTTCAGGAGTCTTATGGCTTGGGGGTAGAAGCTGTTGAGAAGTCTTTTGGACCTAGACTTGGCACTCCGGTACCGCTTGCCGTGCGGTAGCAGAGAGAACAGTCTATGACTAGGGTGGCTGGAATCTTTGACAATTTTGAGGGCCTTCCTCTGACACCGCCTGGTATAGAGGTCCTGGATGGCAGGAAGCTTTGCCCCAGTGATGTACTGGGCCGTACGCACTACCCTCTGTAGTGCCTTGCGGTCGGAGGCCAAGCAGTTGCCATACCAGGCGGTGATGCAACCAGTCAGGATGCTCTCGATGGTGCAGCTGTAGAATTTTTTGAGGATCTGAGGACCCATGCCAAATCTTTTTAGTCTCCTGAGGGGGAATAGGCTTTGTCGTGCCCTCTTCACGACTGTCTTGGTGTGTTTGGACCATGATAGTTCGTTGGTGATGTGGACACCAAGGAACTTGAAGCTCTCAACCTGTTCCACTACAGCCCCGTCGATGAGAATGGGGGCGTGCTCAGTCCTCTTTTTTTTCCTGTAGTCCACAATCATCTCCTTTGTCTTGGTCACGTTGAGGGAGAGGTTGTTGTCCTGGCACCACACGGCCAGATCTCTGACCTCCTCCCTATAGGCTGTCTCATCGTTGTCGGTGATCAGGCCTACCACTGTTGTGTCGTCGGCAAACTTAATGATGGTGTTGGAGTCGTGCCTGGCCATGCAGTCATGGGTGAACAGAGAGTACAAGAGGGGACTGAGCACGCACCCCTGAGGGGCCCCCGTGTTGAGGATCAGTGTGGCAGATGTGTTGTTACCTACCCTTACCACCTGGGGGCGGCCCGTCAGGAAGTCCAGGATCCAGTTGCAGAGGGAGGTGTTTAGTCCCAGGATCCTTAGCTTAGTGATGAGCTTAGAGGGCACTATGGTGTTGAATGCTGAGCTGTAGTCAATGAATAGCATTCTCACGTAGGTGTTCCTCTTGTCCAGGTGGGAAAGGGCAGTGTGGAGTGCAATAGAGATTGCATCATCTGTGGATCTGTTGGGGCGGTATGGAAATTGGAGTGTGTCTAGGGTTTCTGGGATAATGCTGTTGATGTGAGCCATGACCAGCCTTTCAAAGCACTTCATGGCTACTCACTGCTAATTTAGAGGCTTTCCTCAATTGACCTACATCAGGCTGCATGTAACTGTTTCAGATAGAACTCAATGTATATCTACTGATGGTGTTAAATCAGGTTTCCTGGATATTACTAAAGGTGTCTCGCAGGGGTCGATTCTGGGTCCTGTACTTTTTACTGTTTACATTAACAATATCGACTTGTCAGAAAAAAATTGTAGCCTGTACTTGTATGCCGATGATACTGTTGTGTATGTATGCTATTGCCCCCACGGTTGACCAGGCTCTATCTGAACTACAGTCTGACTTCATTGTATTACAGAAAAACTTTACTGACCTGAAATTAGTACAGAATGCAGGTAAAACTAAGTATATGTTGTTCTCTAGAGCGCATCAAAATAAGTCTGATGATTTAAGCATATGTACTTTGGATGGTGTCCATATTGATCGTGTCCCTGCTTACAAATATCTGGGCGTCTGGATAGAAGAAAAGCTGTCTTTTAAAAAGCATTTTGATGAGTTAGTTAAGAAGCTGAGAATAAAAATAGGCTTCTTCTATAGAAATAAGTCCTGCCTCTCGCTAAATGGTAGAAAGCAGATTATTCAGTCAATGTTCCTTTCGGTCCTAGACTATGGCGACATCGTCTATATGAATGCAGCTGCCACTTCATTAAAGCCGTTAGATGTAGTTTATCATAGCACACTGCCCCTTTTTACGGCAACAATTTTAGTACTCATCACTGCATTCTCTACCAGAAAGTTGGTTGGCCCTCTTTGATGTCATGTAGGTTGATACATTGCTATGTTTTCATTTATAAATCCTTTTTACAAAAAGTTCCACTGTACCTAACATCATT